GGTGCTGGACACCCTCGTGGTCCAGGTGCAAACCCTAAACCCTAAACCCTAAACCCTAAAGAATCTTTGGCTGGATAAAACTTTTTTAGTGGACCCTAAACCCTCAAGCCAAGGCAAGGCAGAAGCAGTTAGTGACAAATGCCCTTGTGCTTCTTGTAGCACAGGGCTTCGCAAACCCTAAACCCTAAACCCTAAACCCTAACTGGCTGGCGAAATAAGCAGATCGTGTTCTATGATTGCTTTTAGCAAGGTTTAGAAATACAATTTTTAATATTTTTTAAAACTGGAATTAAAATATAATTGTCATCGTTAGCTGTAATTATAATTGGAATTATAATTATAATTTAATTAGAATTAGAATTAGAATTGGAATTAGAATTAATTATAATTTATAACTACAATTTATTCAACAGTGCAGCAGTTAATGGTAGAGCTGTTTATGGTTTTTCTTTAACAGCAGATTTTTGTTTTTTTATTTTATTTAATTTTAGATGTTAAAAGTATATTTAAGAGTAATGCATTAGATGCAATTTTAGTTTATATTTACTTTTATTTTTCAATTAAAATGTTTTAATTCTTTTTCGCCGATTACACTTTTTAGACTTTCTAAATATTTACTTTTACTTTATTTTTTACTTCTTTTAATTTGGACTCCTTCGCTGTTAGATTTGAATATCTAAAATTATATAGTTATTTTTTTATTTGTTTATTTTATTTGTTCATTTTATTCATTTATTTTATTTATTTTATTAATTTAGTAATTCATTTATTTTTTTTTGCATATTTGCGTTTTTGCAAAAACCTCCTTTGTATGGGAGAGCTTTAGGTGTACGTACAGCTGGTGTGCTTGTGGCATTTGCGCAGAAAGTTTTGGCGAATTATTTCATTTGAAATAAAGTTCTTTTTAAAATATATTTATTGTTTTTGTTTGTTTTTTTAAATTAGAATTAAAGTTGTGATTCCATTTTCCGTTTTTATTTTTATTTATTTGCAAACAATTCCGGAGGTGAGGCTTTTTGTGTCTGTCTGTTTTTCGAGTGGAAGTTGGAAGGAAGAAATGCGCTGCTTTGCTGCTGCTGCGCTGCTGCTGCTGCTGCGCTGCTGCTGCTGCTGCTGCTGCAGGGCCTGAACAAGCGTGGGGGCGACTGCAGCAGCAGCAGCAACCTGGCGGGAGCAGCAGCAGGCTCCGGTGTCTCCTTTTCTAGAGAAGACTTGAGTCGGATTTTGAAGTTCGGAGCAACAAAGTTGTGGAGTCAAAGCAGGCCGAAGGGTTGCGAAGAAGAGGGGCCCCCGGGGAAGGGTACGGGGACTTTGCTGCTGCAGCAAAGCCAGCAGCAGAAGTGGACTTGGACTTGATTCTCGCGGAAGCAGAAGTGACAGTTACAGAAGCAAACCAAGGAGGAGTTGCAGACTCTTTGTTGTCTTCTTATCAAAACATCCAGGAGTTCAAGTACGAGCCTTCTTCTGCTTCGGGAGCAGCAGCAGCAGCAGCAGCAGCAGCAGCAAACGACGCGGAGTTCTGGGCCCAGTGCATTCCTTCTCACGAGAGACTCAAGTTCAAGAGACAGAGTGAAGACCAGTTGATAGTTCATGGAAAAAGAAAAACAAGAAATGCATTATTTGCCTGGGGCTTCAGCAGCAGGGGCGAAGACAGCAGCGGGGAAGCAGCAGCAGCAGCAGCAGCAGCAGCAGCAGCAGGCAGCAGCAGCTTCAGCAGCGGGGGCTACCCGCCCTCGAGCGGGTCTGCGGCGGAGGGCGACGAGGCCGCGTCCGCCCTTGCTGCTGCGGGCAGCAGCAGCAGCGCAGCAGCAGCAGCAGCAGCAGCAGCAGCAGCAAGCAGCAGCAGCAGCAGGGGACGCAGGGGACGCAAACCTAGAGCTATTAACCCCACACAACTCACTCCTAAAGAATACCACAGACTCTACAGGGCTTTGCTGCGCTATGGGTCTGTGGAAAGGAGACTCGGAGACATAATAGTGGAAGCAAAGCTGCAGCGAGTTGCTGCTGCAGTGGTGACTGCAGCAGCAGCAGAGATCGTGGCGGCCTGCAGAGACAGGCTCAGCCAGCCCCCCGCCAAACCTGCTGCTGCTGCTGCTGCTGCTGCTGCTGCAGCAGCAAGGAAGGGCAGCAAAGCCAGCAGAGATGAGGAAGATGATGAAGAAGACCAAGACCAAAGCAGCAGACAAAAGGAAGAAGAGGAAGCCAAAGAAGGTGGGACTTTATTCTTTTATTTATTTGGCTTTATTCTTTTATTTATTTGTTTTATTTTATTTATTATTATTTATTATTATTTATTTATTGTTATTTGTTTATTTGTTTGTGTATTTGTTTGTTTATTTGCTTTTTGCTTTTTAATTCACTTTTGTTGGAGGGTGGGACTTTATTATTTTTATTTATTATTTATTTATTTATTTGTTTATTATTTATTTATTTATTTATTTATTTATTTATTTATTTGCTTTTTGTTTTTTAATTCACTTTTGTTCGTTTCGCCAGACAGCCGCTGCATGCATTCAGGTGTATGGCCAGCTCGGCAGGGCCAGTGGCGACTTTTGTGTTTAAGCGAAAAAGATAAAAATAAATAAATATAAATATAAATATAAACATATAAATAATAAATATAAATATAAATATAAATAATAAATATAAATATAAATATAAATAAATATAAATAAATTAATTAAATGATTTGTAGATTGGCGTGTCAATACACAAAAAATTTAGAATCCGTGCGGCCAAAGACAGCCAGCAGCAGCAGCAGCAGCTGCTGCTGCTGCTGCTACCGCTGCTGCTGCTGCTGCTACCGCTGTTGCTGCTGCTGCTGCTAGCGCTGTTGCTACTGCTGCTGCTGCTGCTGCTGCTGCTGCTGCTGCTACCGCTGCTGCTGCTGCTGCTGCTGCTGCTGCAGGGCGTTCGTACTTCACGCAAATAGGAGACACGCGGGTGAACGCGTGGGACTTGATAGAGCGGCTGCAGCTGCTGCAGCTGCTGCACGAAGTGTTTGAGCAGCAGCACCCCAACTGTGCTGCTCCTTGGCGGCTGCCGACGGGGCCCTTGTCTGCGGACTACTCGGGGCTGCAGCAGCAGCAGCAGCAGCAGCAGGTGCTGCTGCTGCAGCAGCAGCAGCAGCAGCACGACGGGGAAGGCCTCCCGCAAGACGCGGCGCAGGCGGCTCACGGGGACCCCGCTGCTGCTGCTGCTGCTGCTGCTGCTGCTGAGCAGGGACAGTGTGCAGCGGATCCAGGGGGGCCGCCAGCTGCTGCAGCAGATGCTGCTGCTGCTGCTGCTGCTGCTGCGACGGCAGCAGCTGGAGCGGAGCAGCAAGCCGTTGGGACCGACGACGAGCAGCAAGAGGGAGCAGCAGCAGCAGCAGCAGCGCAGCAGCAGCAGCAGCAGCAGCAGCTCGACAGCAGCAGCGGAATGAAAGGTTTCCCACCTCCCCACGGAGGAGGTACAGAGACATTTCTGACTGTAAGCTTTTTATGTCTCTCTTTATTTTTATTTTTTATTTTTATTTTTGTTTTGTCTCTTTTTTTTCTTCTTTATCTCAACTATTTTATTTCTTTTTGTCTCCTTTTGTGTTTCATTTGTTTTTCTTTTCTTTTTTTATTTTAATTTCTTTTTGTCTCTTTTTATCCTCTCTGTTTTTGTCTCCTTTCGTTTCTTTCCCAGCCCTTGTTTCCCCGGGTTTAGGGTTTAGGGTTTGGGGTTTAGGGTTTAGGGTTTAAGGCTCAGGGTTTAGGGTTTAGGGTTTAGCATTTAGGGTGCAGGGTTCATAACTAAGCGTTGGGGCTCTAGGGCCAAGGGTTTAGCACTTAGGGTTTCGGGCTCACGGCTTCTCACGGTCCAGGGTTTAGGGTTTAGGGTTTAGGGTTTAGGGTTTAGGGTTTAGGGTTTAGGGTTTGTGCTGCTGCAGCTGCGGCTGCCGGACTCCGTGATATCGCGTTTGAAACCCTGGAGCGCTCGAGACGTCCAGAGTTGGGGAGCTCGCGAAGACGAGGCCCTTTTGATAGGGGCTTACAAGTACGGCTTCGGGGCCTGGGCGGTGAGTCGAGGGTTTAGGGTTTAGGGTTTAGGGTTTAGGGTTTAGGGTTTAGGGTTTGGGGTTTGGGGTTGGGGTTTGGGGGTTTGGAGTGGAGGGGCGGGCCTGGGGGTTTGCGCCGAGGCGAGGGCTGGGCTAGTGTTTAAGCGCGTCCAATTGGGATGCTAGGGTTTAGGGTTTAGGGTTTAGGGTTTAGGGTTTAGGGTTTAGGGTTTAGGGTTTGTGTGCAGGAGGTGAGCAACGACCCGAATTTATGTCTGCCGCAAATTCGGGACATAAAATTCGACAAGTTGAAGATGAGGGCTTTGAGGACTCTGAAGTTGATAGAGAAGCAGCTGCTGCACAGCGGCAGCAGCAGCAGCAGCAGCAGCAGCAGCGCAGCAAGGAACTCGCGGTCTTTGAGGCCCAGCCCCGTTGCTGCTGCTGCTGCTGGAGCAGCAGCAGCAGCAGACCTGACAGGTGCAGCAGCAGCAAACACGGCAAACGCCCTCTTGCTGAACGGCGCAGCGCAGCAGCAGCTGCAGCTGCAGCAGCAGCAGCTGCAGCAGCAGCTAGAGCAGCAGCAGCTGCAGCAGCAAAGTAGGGATCTGGGAGCAGCAGCAGCTGCTGCTGCTGCTGCTGATGATGATGACGATGAAGAAGATGACGAGCTCATGGGAGACCAGGATGGGCCTGTAAGTCTCTTGCTGCTGCTGCTGTTGCTGCTGCTGTTGCTGCTGCTGTCGCTGCTGCTGCAGTTGTTGCTGCTGGATATGTGTGCTGCAGCAGCAGTAGCTCACAAACAGCAGCAGCAGCAGCAGCAGCAGCAGCAGCAGCACTTTTGTCTCTTTTCTCTTCAGCATTCTCCAAAGCGCCGTCGAAAGGAGGTGGACGTCTTCAGTAAGGCTGCTGCTGCTGCTGTTGCTGCTGCTGCTGCTGCTGCTGCTGCTGCTGCTGTGTTATACCGGCGTCAATTTCTGTCTCTTTTTTATTTCTTTTTTTCTTCTTTTTGGTTTCCCTTTTTGTCTCCTTTAATCTCCATTTATTTCTTTCAAATTTCTTTTTTGCTTTTTTATCTTTTTGCCCTTTTTAGTCTCTTTTTATTTTTAATTTCATTTTGGTTTCCTTTTGTCTCTTTTCTCTTTTTATCCATTCTTTTAAACTTATTTTATTTTATTTAATTAATTAATTTAATTTATTCAATTTATTTATTTCAATTTTTATTTCCCTTTGCCTTCTCCGTTTCTTTTTCTCTTTTTGTTTTTTGTTTCACTCTTCTTCTTTTTCGGCTTTTTGTCTCCTTTATTCTTTTTGATTCTTTTAGTTCTTTTAATTCTTTCACTATTTATTTATTTACTTCTTTTAATTTTTTATTTCTTTTATTGTTTATTATTTAATTCTTTTAATTTATTTAATTTTTTAATATAATTCTTCTAATTCTTTATTTCATTTACTTCATTTATTATTTATCTATTTAATTCTTTTATTTCTCCAGTTCCTTATCTCCTTTATTCTGTTATTATTTCTCCAGTTCATTTATTATTAAATTCTTTATTTTCTTTGATTTATTTATTCTCAATTGTTTAATTCTTTTATTATTAATTTAATTTTTTGATTTCTTTTAATTTTTTTAATGCCTTTCAACCATTCCAGTCTTTGCATTTAACAAAACAAACAGCCACAACTAAATTAAGTTAATAAACCAAATCAATTTAATTCAATTAATTAATTTAATTCAGGCTATTATTTATTTATCTATTTATTTATTATCTATTTATTTTTCTATTTATTCATCTATTTGTTTGTTTATTTATTATTAATTTATTAATTTATTTATTTATTCATTATTTATTTATTATTTATTTATTTATTTATTTGTTTATTTATTTATTTATTTATCTATTTATTTATTTATTTATTTATTTTTTATTTATTTATTTGTTTTTTTATTTGTTTTTAGGCCTCGCAGCTTTGCCCGCAGAAAGGCTGCGGAAGGCAGTGCGGCGTTTGCTGCGGGGCGACAGAAGGGCTTTGAAGCAGCTGAAGAAGCTTTCGAAAGAAGCAGCAAGCAGCAGCAGCAGCAGCAGCAGCAGCAGCAGCAGCAGCAGCAGCAGCAACAGCAGCAGCAGCAGCAGCGGAGACCCCACAGTGCACAGGGCTGCTGCTGCGGCTTACGTCGCCTCCATTGCAGCTGTACGTACACCGCAGCCCGCTGCAGCAGAGTCTATTCAAATTCATTTTTATTTTTTTTATTTTTATTTTTATTTTTATTTTATTTATTTGTCTTTTATTTATTATTTATATTTATGTTTTATTTATATTTAAACGAGAATAATAATTAGAGAATGAGGGAAGAAAAGCTGGAGAAAGAAACAGCGTAGTATCTGCTGCCGTTGCTGCTGCTGTTGCTGCTGCTGCTGCTGCTGCTGCTGCTGCTGCTGCTGCTGCTCCTGGACGTAGCTGCATGAGGTGAATTAATTATGAGTTCTTTGCTTTAATAAATAATTTATTTTTATTTTTATTGAGATGTTTTTTTTATTCTTTTTATTATTCAATAAATGATTTTATTTTTATTTTTATTTTATTTTATTTTGTCTTTTCAGACTCTCCGAAATTCGCTTTATCCTTTGGGTGAAAACTCCCCACAGTATAAAGTGGTCGAAGCAGCAGCTTGGGCATATGTAGCTTCGTACGTCTTGCTGCTGCTGCTGCTGTTGCTGCTGCTGCTGCTGTTGCTGCTGCTGCTGCTGCTGCTGCTGTTGTGGTATTGATGTTCATGCTGTTTTGGTACTGCTGTTGCTGCTTCCTTTGTTTCTTTTGTTCCTGCTGGTGTTGCTGCTGCTGCTAGCGATACTAGAAGTATCGCTGCTGCTGGCTATTAGTGCTGCTGCTGCTGCTGCTGCTGCTGCTGCTGCTGCTACTAGGACTACTACTTGACTTGCAGCACCTTTTGATTTGCTTCTTTTTGCTGCAGCATCGCGGGCCTTCCTGCGGAGGACCTGGAACAAATGGGGCGCATGGCCCTGCAGCAGCAGCAGCAGCAGCAGCAGCAACAGCAGCAGCAGCAGTGTCTTCAAGGTATGCAGTCCGCAGCAGCAGCTTCAGCAGCAGCAGAAGGAACCGCATGTTCCTCAGCAATTCCTGAGGGGACTTCTTCTGCGATTCCTGACGAGTGCCAGCTGCTGCAGCAGCAGCAGCTGCTGCTGCAGCAGCAGATTGAGCAGCAGCAGCAGCTGCTCGACCAGCAGCAACTGCTCCACCAGCAGCTACAACAGCAACAGCAGCAGTTGCTGCAGCAGCAGCAGCAAGATGCTGGCAGCAGCACCGAAATACCACTAGGGTTTGAGCATGAAGCAACAGCGGTTGCTGCTGCACCTGAAGCAGCAGCAGGAGCAGCAGCAGGAGCAGCAGCAGCAGTGGCTTCTGCTGCTGCACCGCCGCAGACGAAGTGTGCAAGCGGGTATTCTCCCTCTGGAGTTCCACGAGATGCAACAGCAGCAGCAGCAGCAGCAGGTGCTGCTGCTGCAGCTGCTGCTGCTGCTGCTGCTGCTACTCCGCATCAACAAGAAGCAGGTGCGATGCAACTGACAGCAGCAGCTGGCTCGTTGCTGCTGAGCAGCTGAAAACTGCAGCGGCGGCGGCAGCAGCAGCAGCAGCAGCAGCAGCAGCAGCGGAGCGAACCTGCACCACAGCGCAGCAGGAAAGGCCTATACTGCTGCTGCTGCTGCTGCTGCTGCTGCTGCTGCTGCTGCTCTTTTTGCGCTGACGCACTGAGTCCAAATTCAATGGTTGTTTTACAGGGCTGCGAAACAGACTGGCCAGCAGCAGCAGCTGCAGCAGTAGCAGCAGCAGTAGCAGCAGTAGCAGCAGCAGCAGCAGCAGCAGCAGCAGCAGAATCGGCGATGGCGGCTGGCTGAGTTTCGGCTCGCCGTCTTTCAGCAGCTTTCAACCCTTCCAGTCGTGGGGCCGAAGCAACCTGCAGCAGCAGCAGCAGCAGCAGCAGCAGCAGCAGCAGCAACAGCAGCAGAAGCAGCAGGTGCCGCCCCTTGATTGAGCAGTTTGTAGCTTTGCGCGGAGGAGCATCGGCTGCAGTTGCTGCTGCTACTTAAGCAGCAGCAGCAGCAGCAGCAGCAGCAGCAACAGCAGCAACAGCAGTAGCTAAGGATGGCTGCCACTGAGGCAGCAACGCCACTTGCTGCTGCTGCTGCTGCAGCGGCTGCAGCGGCAGCAACTGCAGCTGCACCAGCAGCAGCATTGGAACCAGAGCCCGTGGGGCCCATTGTAGATTTCAAGGCTCCTGCTGCTGTTGCTGCTGCTGCTGTACTGCAGCAGCAGCAAGTTGTCCTGTAGCTGCTCCTCCAGCAGCTGCTGCTGCAGCAGAAGCTACTGCAGCAGCAACTGCTGCAGCAGCGGCAGCAGCAGCAGCTTTTCCTGCTGCTGTTGCTGCACT